CTTAGGGACATGGTTTAGTGGTGGGATGACAGTGTTAGGTTAACGGTTGGACTTGATGATCTTAAAGGTCTTTTCCAACCTAAACAATTCTATGATTCTATGCCTTTGAAGATATATTTTAGAGATTGGTATTTTACTCTTCTGTTACTTCACTTATCTACATTTAATTATGGTAGTAAGAGCTGGCAGAGGTTTCTCAAACTGCAGATGCATGTTTAAATGTAAAATCAGAAATGTGATTCACTTTATAAGGGTACTTCTTTTGAGGTTGGAAATCAAATATTGCTGAATTTTAGTGCTAAATTTCTGTCTTCTGTTGGATGAAATTGTGACAGTATACACTAAAATGAATTTTCATTCACAGGAAACTCCCCTAAATTGGTCTGTTGAAACAATAGAGGAAACTTTGGTGCCTAAGGACTTGTTAACTGCATATATAGAAAAGCTCAACAGTGATCAGACTGCTCATGCAGAGGAGTCAGCTATGTTCCTGTTCTTATTGAAAAACTTCATTAATGGCCTAAAACCTCCTCTGTCCTTTTCGAAAGGTAAGTGTTAAAGTTTTGGCTGTCTTTTATATCAGTGAAGTGAAGAAGGAAGGCTAATTTTTTTGTCTCCGGAAGTTGTTGGAAACAAGCAAGCCTTGCTTCCCTAACCTTCTTCATTTGTTGTTATTGAGATCTGTAAAGATTACTTATTTGTGAACATGAAATCAGCCAAACATATTGTCTTATTTTAACTAGAGGTGTCTCTTTTCTCTTGATTTCTGGAGGTGTTCATATGCATAAACTGTGTCTTATGTACAACCTGTATTTTTTAGAGGAAACTTGGTGGAATCCTGAATCTCTGAATCAAGATAGCCAAGACTACCTGCACCTCCTGTTGGGGCTATTTGACCTACTTGTCTATGGAGCTAGTGAGGGAAGCAGTGCTGTTCAGTACAGAGCATTGATGAACCTCTTACTCAAGGTATTAATTTGCATTTGTTGCTCTGAATTATCAGTCATCACCTGTTACACAGTTACTTAACTTTAAGGAAAACTGAGAAAAGTGGATCATGCAACACTGTGGCATGCTAGTAAGTAGTGTGAGCAGATGGGAGTCTAAGCTTCAGCTGGTTAGTTAACCATAATGCAATGTAATAATAGAAAACTAAAGGAAAAAACCAATAAATGGACCAATTGATGCTAAGGTGAAAACATAACACTGATTTGCAGGGCAAGGTCAAGAGCTTGAAGTTTGAGATAAAAGTTTTGGTCTTATCGGGGAGCAAAGCAAACAGTTGCTCTGTAAAATTTGTTTGGTTTTAAATACAAAAATTGAAAGGAAAATTTTTAGAAGGCATTACATGTTTCCTTATAACATCATCTCATGTTTTCTCACCCGCATAGAGTGATACATTTTTGTGAAGAGAAAAAGGGATGTTTGGCAGTCTGGATTTTAGATGACATGGAGTAGTAACTGTACATTCTGAAGAAAAGAGAAGCAAGTAATTGATACAAAGCCACTGTTACTGGAATTTGATGCTGTTTCATCAAGAATAGCACATGACAAACACAAACAAGAAGGAAAGAATAGAAATGATTTCATAAGAAAACTTGTTTCTGATGTTAATTCTTGTATATAACTTTGTCTAATTATCAGTCACTCCAAGATCTAGTTAAATTGTACTGACACTGAGCAAGAGCTCGGTGAGTTTGATTGAGATGAATTCAGTGCCTGGCTAGGTAAAGGCTGTCAGCAGGGAAGCAAGGAGGTTTACGCAAAAGCATCTACTCAATAACTTTTTCTTCCCAAAAGACACTGTTTCTTGACTCTGTAATTCTCTTCCTGTCTACTGCTTTGATTTGGGTAGTTTGTCAGATGTTGTGAGTTTGCCAATTAAATGGAAGTTATTAAGTTCTTTTATCTTTTTTCTTTTTTTCTTTTTTTTTTTTGTTAAATTTAAGGTGCATCTTAAAGATTCAGAGGTTCTCTTCAAATTCCTTTCAATTTTATGGACTTACAGTTATAACCTTTCAAATCATCTGAACTATGAAGTCAGTGCAATGCTACAGACTAAAGCTCTATATATTGGCTATGCATTGCTTGAATCACAGACATACCAAAAAAAGAAACAGCTGTTATCACCATCATCTCCAGGTAAAGTAAAAAAGTATCTATCTGTCACCTGAAAGCTTAATCACAGTATTTTTATATTTTTTGCAATTTTACTGTATTTTATGCCATGAAGAGTATCTATAGTTATTTATGTTCAGCTGCACTAGGCTGAGACAGCTCTCTTTCTTGCTGATTCACTGTTGCAGTTACTAGCCCAAGCTCAGAAGTAGGTGAAATAACTTTTTTTTAATGTTAAAAGTGTTGAAGAAACACCCTTCTATCCTGTAGAAGTCAGTTATGGCACCTTACTTTCTGTGCAGTATAAGTATGTGGTAGTCAGTAGCGATATATGAACTCTGTGAGCTTAAACTCAAGTATAAGGTCTGTGGTAAAGAAGTTCAGAGCCATGGTTCTGTGGGATTCGCATGGGGTTTTTGTAGTCTAGAGGTTTATAGTGAGAAGAGATGACTTTTTAATTCCAAAGTAATGTTGATGGCTCTTCAGGGACAGATACAGTAAAATTCTGACCATTCACTTTATTCTGTTGTCTTTTTCTCCTTCCTTCCCTCACTCTTTTTGCAGTGGTGATATCTTTGCTAATTAACTTGGGTAGTCCTGTGAGTGAAGTTCGAAGGGCTGCTCTTAACTGCCTCCATTCCTTGAGAGGGATAAAAGATTCTCTATTTCATCCTGTTCTTCAGCATTTGGAGCAAAAGACAGAAGAGATCGTATCTGACCCTGCATACATAACACAGGTATTTTTGTTATTAAGGTGTACAAGTTTTGTCTGCTGCTGTTAGCTCCCATCTTTTCTAAAAGAAATCAAGTTAACTGGGAAAGTTCATTGTCTTTGTATACTGTAGTAGACTGATTTTTTTTAAAGGACTATAAAAATATTCAAGTGATTTATTACATATGGAGAATTGAGAATACCTCAATTAAGAGGTATTAACTTGTGGTTTATTTACAGATGAAGAATTCTGTTTGTATCTGGATTGCATTATTACGAAAGTATTGAATAAACATTTTTGAAGGCATTTTTATTGCAGGGAAGGAACTTAATTTTCACTTTATTAATGAACTAGATTATGGAAGCTCTATTTGAGGACCTTGAGACAGAACCAAAACAGAAATCCCAGAAGAAAAAATTGTTGGAAGCTTTGGAAAGCATACTTGATTGTGTACAGAGCCCTATTTTCCCATCATATGTTGCAAGAAACTTAATGAAAATTCTTCATGAAGTCCATGGTGAGGTAAGTGTCACCTTTCTAGTTTTATGGGTTCTGCACTTGATTGAAATGCTGAAACTTCATAATGTATTAGACTATTCGACGTTAAGTTGACACCTCTAATAATAAGCGATGGTGCTGCAAAGTATGATTTACTGATACAAAATATTTGCATGCTCCATCCAAGAATGTAAAGGCTGCAGAATTTTGCACTGGAGTTCTTAAGGAAACTCCTTTGATGTTACAGAAAAAGACTGTTTCAGAAGAAGATTATTCCAGAACAAATTTATTACCTTGGTTAGATGTCAGTGTATACAGTTTTCTGTACAGAATTGTAACATATTAGGTAGTACTATCAATTTTACTAGTATCTGTTAACCTCCTCTTATCTAGTATATTCAGAATTCTAGAAACGCTGGAAAATACATGAGTTCAATGTTCAAAAACCAAATGAAATTATGAATTTTTATGCTCTGTTCAGTTGTATGTATCTTGAAAGGATTGTGAACTGCAGAGAGGCTGAGAGTTGCCTCACATTTGGGTTTTGTAGGAGACAGCAGTCATCAGTGGAAAAATATTGTCTTGTTTCTGTACTTCAAAAATAGGAAATGCTACTCTGCAAAGGAGAACAGCGAAGTAGCAGATAAGCACATACTCGTAATCTCACAATAAGTCTTGTATTTTTCCTCTTGAACAGCTGTTGAATAAAATACTGTATGCAGCGTGTTACCAGAGAGGGGATGTTAGAATCATGGAATCATTTAGATTGAAAAAGACCTTTAAGATCATCAAGTCCAACTGTTAACCTAACACTGCCATCCCACCACTAAACCATGTCCCTAAGCAGGGACATGATTACTCAAGTTGGCCAAGCCTCTCTGTGTGAATCATCACAGGGATGGCAGAGGACCACTGTCCTTCACAGCACACCAATATGTTGCAGTAAAATGAAGCTGTGCTATTGGAAGTTTGTTAAAATGAGAATGGATAAAAACTTCTATTACAAATTTCCTGTGTTTGCAGATGATTCTTTCTCACCTTTTGCCTGCATTAGACCAGTTGCTAGAGAAGGTTTTTAAGGAACCTGAGGCAATGTTGAAAGATGAAGTTGTTCTCCTGCATCTCATCCTTGGAAAGTTTAATGAATATTCAGCAACCCTCTTGTGCAAGAATCAACAGAGTCTGGATTTATTTATCAAAAGTCTGCATGCTGCCAAGAAAATCTATGAAAAAATTCAACCATTTCAGATCACAGCACTTGGGCAGGTATGGCTTTTATGAAAGGTCTTTAATTTATTTTTATGCCTAAAGCAGATACCAGTGTTTAGGATTGGATTTACAAGGACTCTTTCTGTGTTAAGGAGTCAATAGCTTTTGACCTGTCTTTCTTCTGGTACAAATTTTCAGGGTCTCCATAGTGTCTTTGAAACATCTAAACAGGCTGCAAAACTTTCTCTCTTAAACTTACCATAAGAAGCTGCTGCTTGCTTTGTTTGTACATTTTGGCAAGTACAGAACAGAAATGTCATTGTATTTGCAAGCATATGAATACCTGTATCATTGTCTGCAGATACTACTGTTTCACTGTCCTTAGTTTTTGTCAGTCAGTCAGGAGCTTTAGTTCATGTTTTTCATCTGAGGAAAAATTGTCAAGAAAATACAGTAGGTGAGAAATAGTCTCATCTGAAGGAGGCTACAAATTCAGGCCTTCTATTAGCCAGGTATTAGCATATACTTAACAAAGGCTAGCAACAGCAAGTTTGTTCCCCCTGCTGGGCAAGTTGTGTGAAAAATCTCAGGAATCAGAATGTCAGATGGGTATTTCAGAAGTGTGTGCTTTGCCTCTAAGGATTCCTGGGTATATGCAAATACGTAGTTAGTATGCAAATTTTTATTATATATGTTCATACTAACCTGCATGTGTGATTGGGTGTGTCAAACATAATCTAACATACCTAAGTTCAATAGCTTGTGATTTTGTTATCTTCTTAATGCATCCTTTCTTTTTTCCCTTTTGTAGATTACTAAACCATTCTTTGCAGCTGTGTCAGATGGGATGGTGCAACAGAAGCTATTAAAAGTATTGTTTGACTTACTGTTAAACTGTAAGAACCCGCTTTGTGCCCAGACTATTAGCAGTGTGTTTAAAGGGGTAAGTGGCAAACTCCAGAACACAGAAATGCGTTCAAACTTGTTGCGGTGGTTCTGTGTTGCTACATTAAGTAACACTCATTGTTTATATCATTCATAACGTGAAAGGAATTGAAAACTACTTGTCACATAACGTAATTGTGTTAATGGCATGAAAAGTTTGTTAAATGACTGCTTTTAGAAGCTATTTCTTTAAAAGCCATGCATCAGTCACTTACTATGTGAATTAATTCAGAAGTCACTTCTTTCTGCTGCACTGACTTTCATTTTCTCAGATAGGACTTGAATATGTGGATTATATACCCATATGTGCATGAAAGGGATGTGTTTTTAAAAAAAAGAGGGGGCATAGATGTGTGATATGACACGTTGTTCATTGGTGCTTGCATTATTGTTCTTTGTTTTAGATTACTGTGTGTGCTGAGCAGATTGTCAGAGAACTGGAGCCTCCTGAGAAAACCAAAAGTCTGGCCACTGTTCAGCAAACTAGAAGGCAGAAAATGCAGCAACAGAGGTAAAATAACTAGAAACCCAAAAATATTATCTGTATAGTTTGAAAATGACACTTGGTTTACTACATTTCATAGTTTGTATTGAAAGCATAAGCATCTATTTCTATTCAGAGTAAAATAACTCTGAACTACTTTTGGCAGGAGGAAATCAAATCATGTTGCTGTTTGAGAACTGATGGAACTATAGTCAAAACTTAAAAAAAAATCCAGTAGTTTTAATGTTGACATTTGCTCTTATAGAATATGGCTTGACAGAGTTGAGTTTAGGTATTAAACTTGGTTAGTAATGACGATGTCTGGACAAATTACATACACGTTGCTGAAGCCTACAGATGCTCATCAAAATGCTCCTGTTAGTTGACTGAAAAACAGTTTCTTTCAGTTAAAATATTAATACTATAATTAATTGTTAGATCTCTTTGTTTCTTCTCTCCATTCTCATAAGGAAGGAGCTGTTTTGTCCACTGTACTGCTTCTCTTCTTTAAGCGTCGGCTGTCAGACATTGTTGAAACAGGATATTGAGCTGGTTTTCTTGGTTTGACCTAAAATAGCTGTTTTATTTTCCTTCACTTGACCTTTTTTAACAATCATCACCCATTAGATTGATCCATCTGTAAACTGTCTGTCAAGAGTTTATAAACACACGTGCTTGCGCACACCCCCATTGCCTGCATAGTCAGTGGTTAGACAACTAGTAGTTCTGAAGATGCAAGCTTTCTGGATGACAAGCAGATTAGCATTTGGACAGTGAGGGCATGCTATACTTTGTTTTTTCAAGTTTGGTCTGGATTTTCTGTTGTTTACAATGTGTTGCTCCTTCAATCAAAAGCCTACACATTGCCACCTCTCCCAGGAGAAGCAGTGAAGGATATTACTGTGTGAAAGAAAATCTGTCTTTTTTTACATATGCATGTGTTTGTTCCCTGAAACACTGTACTAGTTTCTTTGCAAATGTGTATCCTGATTGTTTGTCTTACCTTTTTAGAAAGCCTCAAGATGCAGAATTGGCACCAGAAGCAAGCCAGTTCAACTGGCAGAGGGTTATGCTTATTCTGGAATTACTGCAGCATAAGAAAAAACTCAGACGTCCGCAGGCATTGGTACCTGCACTTTTTAACCTGCTGAGCCGGTAATCATGCCTCTGTAACACATGAATCCTTGAGCTTTCTCTTCTGCAGCAGACACTGTAAAGCATTAAAATACAATAATATAATTAATCTAAATAATATTATTAATAATATAAATACTAAAATATAAAATAATATTAAAAAGGCTACTTTCTCTCTGCTTTGTTGCCATGTTTTGTTGTTTAGCTTGCCTTTTTTACTTGAACTTCTTCTAGGTAAATCAGATGAGGGGAATGGGAAGTTGTTACAACGTTTTTGCCCTTTAGACAATCTAGTGGGCTTTTTAAGAGTTTTACCTGATGCGTAGCTTCTTATGTGAAGATTTTGTTTCTCAGGTGGAGGGCTTGGGATTGCTAAGAAGGATGACACCTGTGCTAAAACTGGCAAGGGTGACAGGACTTGTGTCTTTTGCAGAGCTATTACAATAATACTTTTCAGTTTTAAATTTCCTCGCAAAACATTGTGGGACAGCTTTCCAGTGCAGCCTAAGAAAACTGTTACTTTTCCTGCCAGCCCTGTCTCCAGGCGTTTAGGAAAGTTTACCTATAGATTGGGTATTTCTCTTTTTTCCCTATGACTTTCCTTTACGTAGATTTGCAATCCTATTTCAGGTGATCATCTTACACTCTTGACAGTGCTTTGATAAATGTCTTTTATTAGACCAGTTGATGTATCTGAAAACAAAAAAAAGAAGAAACACTTTTTGGCAAACACTTTTTATAGTCCTCAATTTAGAACTTCTGTAGAATGAAGATTGCATTTTCTTATTTGTATCTTAATATGCAGTTTGGTCACTTATTTTTCTTTACCATTTTTCAATCTTTTTTTCCTGAATGTATAGGTGTCTGGAACCTACGGCATCAGAAGAAGAAAATATGGAATATACAAAACAGCTAATCCTCAGCTGCCTGCTAAGCATCTGTCAGAAATTGTCTTCAGATAGTAGTAAGGTCCCAGCAGGTAAAAATTGCCAAAATCATTTCCTGGTACTTCTCTCACCAGTACAGCATTAAAACAATGGCCTCTAACTTTTTTTCTTCTCTCAGTTTACGCTGCATTGTTGAGGAGAGATAGGTTCCTCTGTAGGATATAATACAAGTTTGCCTTCTTAATCATTTTTCTAGATCCCTTAGTTATGGTTTGCAAGTTGAAACCAGTGCTTGAGTGTACGGTTTATTCCTATATGGTTTACCATTAAAGTGTTAAGTATTTTTTACTTGCAGATACCCTTGACAAAGAAAAGTTCAATGTGGAAGTGATAGTTCAGTGCATCAGGATTTCTAAAATGCCCCAGACACACCACCATGCACTGCTGCTCCTTGGTGCTGTTGCTGGCATGTTTCCCGTAAGTAGTACCTGAAATTTATGTGTTCGCTTTTCTCTTCAGGCTCCAAATATTTGGAAGAGTAAACAACATGTAGAGCTCTTCTATGGGGAGAAACTTTCTGAAAGGAGCAAGAGGCAAAATTTCCAGGTTCCCTGCTCTTTTAGGGCTGCCTATTCCCTTTTACTTGAAAACAAACCTCTGTCTTGTCAGTTTGATCACTAGTCATTTACGACTTGTAGATGAAGCACATTAGAAATGGAAGAAGCCTTCTGACAACAGCCCTGCCTCACCTTCAGGCTGTGGTCAAAGTTCTCATGTGTTACTTCTTCTTTTCCCTGTTTTATACACAAGAGAGAAAACATCTAGCCCGATAGCACATGTATTCTCACAAGTTCCTATCTTGTACAACACTGAGAAATGGGGTTATAGTTGATAAAAACAGATTGGTATGATTTTAATCAACTGAGAAACAGGCCTTTTCTTCTGTGGATTGAAATTTGACTGTACGCTTACCCTTCTAAGTCAGATTCTTTTGCTTTGCTTTGCAAAAGAATCTGCTATAGAACCGAGCTTTTATTCTACATTAATACTGGTCAGCTCTTACAAGATTTTCAAGGAAATATTTTGTATGAGTCTCATCTCTTTTTAAATCTGAAACACTGAATTAAAAACGTGCCCATAACTGCTTCCTCTAAGTTCTGGCAAAATTTAGGAAACTAACTCTTGAGCTAGGTGATACCTCTAATCCAGCGCTCTTAAAATTAATTACGATTGTTACAGTCTAGCCCCCAAAAAAGCCAAAAATTAAAATGAGCATGGTTGGTTTCTGTTGTATGATTGCTGTAGATATTGACAGTGTTTTACAGATATAAAAAGGGCGGGTGGGAAAGGCATGAAAATCACTGGAGTCTGTGCCACACTCACATTTGTGCTTCTGCAAATCTCCCCATAGCTGATTTTACTTGTCAGACTACCTTGGCACTGAGTTGAAGAATACACGGTGTTTCATCAGACTGAACTCTCAATTTCCACTCTCTAATTTTAATTGCTTAGAAGGTCATCTTGGTTTCTAAATAATATTTAGAACTCTTAACAATCACATAGTAAGTAGCTGTAAGGGACCCTATAAATTTAAAGTTAGTTTAGTGGAGATTTTAGAAGACACTAATGATTCTCATTTTCTTTTATAGGACTCTAGTGGCATTTGTGGGAAGGAGAAATGCCTTAAGGTATAATACGCAGAGCAGCACAGTTAAAAAAGTAAACTAATCTCATCTGTCTTCTTTTCCAGGATAAAGTTCTCCATAACATTATGCCCATTTTTACATTCATGGGAGCAAATGTCTTGCGTCTGGATGATACTTACACGTTCCAAGTGATTAATAAGACAGTGCAGATGGTTATTCCTGCTCTTATACAGGTAAATTTGTCTTTTTTATATAGATATTAAATTATATATCTTAACTATATTAACAGACTACTCCTCGTCTGACCAACTCTGAGCTCATCAGATTACTGCTTCTCTCTAATCTTATGAGCTCCTGCACTTTATAAATGATTTAGCCAAAACAGTATCACAGCTGTACCTAAAGAGGACCTGAAACATACCTTAAGTTCAACTTTTTCATTATTAAAATACCTGGCAAGTTCAGTAGAGGAACCCTTGGAAATGAGAAGGTGGTTATTAGTCCTATAATAATATGTCATGGTCATACCTATAGCAGACATGGTCTGAAGGAAGTGGAAAGGTAAAATATTTGACAAATGATTTTACTCTTCCAGCTGGTGTTTGCATAGGTTTTCTTGGTTTTGGCTGGACATCTTAGATGAATGGTTATAAATCAAAACAAAAATGCATCATTGTTTTTCAAAGGGGACATTTTTCCTTCAGTCAGATTTCACTTGCACATAATAAATCTTACTTCTAGGGTCATTCCTAGATTTAAACATGAAAAATGCCATATGCATTTCTTTTGTAAAAATGAATTGGAAAAAAAAAATTCTTCTTCTAACAATGGGCTGGAGATTTCCTGGTGGTTTTTTTTAATGATATGTATATACATTTTGCATTCTCTTGCAGACCTCTGTTAGAGAAATCAAGTTGCTGTCTCTCTGGTTTTTTTGGTTTTTTTAAACATTTATTTAGTTATTTATTTAAAACCTTTCATAGCAGTCATCACAAGTATCTGTGACAAATTATTTATGGCACACACAATTATTACATCTGGGGAGAGCCTAATGTTACTTACCTGAGATCATGTTAGCCTCCTTGTATTGTTTTTACTAGACCCTTGAATCCAAGACCCTACCTATGAGGCTTACAGGCAAAGTTTTCAGAAGATGTGGCATTGTTTTGGGGTTTGGGGTTTTTTCTTTCTTTTTTTTCTCTTTTCCTTTTTTTTTTCTTCTTTTCCTTTTTTTTTTGTCCCTTTAATTTTATTTGAGGCTTCTTCCTTTAACACTGAAAAGGAACTGTGTGATTGAAAACGGTTTATTTTGGAACACTTATATTTTCTTTGAGATTATGCTTCAGGTAATGCTGTTATCGGGCACGTAGTGCTGTCTCTCATTTTCTGAATTTACAAGAAAGAACTTGTACGCATCTGCAATAATCTGTTTGAACTGCTGTACCTGTTTGCACATAGGCTGAAGACAGTGATTTATCGGAGTCCTCCGGAAGTGTGGAAGAGGTGGTGATAAAGATCATTCGCGTGTTTGTGGATGCCTTGCCCCATGTGCCGGAGCACCGCCGCCTGCCAATCCTGGCCCAGCTGATCACTACGCTTGGAGGAGACAAGTTCCTCTGGGTTCTCCTGGTGCTGCTGTTCGAGCAGTATGTGACCAAAACTGTGGCTGCAACACCAAGCACAGACAAGGTTAGAAGATCTTGTGGAGTCAACCTTTTCCTCAAGAGACAGATCTCCCCCTTTCTGTCTATGGTCTTGCCTTTAAAAAGGTGCAAGATAAGCCCCTAGGTTACGCTAAAATAAGTAGTGAGCTCTGAGCCTGTGCTATAGCAGAGCACAATGGTGATGTTGACTAAGATTTGTATTGCAGATACAATATTGTTTTGTCCTGGAGCCTGAAAAATAAATCAGGTCACATCATACAGCAGTCCTTGACCTGAAGAGCTGATAATCTAATTATGAAGTGCTTCAATATTTTTAAAGTTGTTTGGGTTTGTTTTTTTTTTCTTTAACTGTGTTTGTGAAACATGATACTGGTCTTCCTGTACAGACCAAAATGAAAACCCTCTTATGTTTTTGTGTAGGCACGCCCTCAGATTAGGTGAAAGCATAGTTTATAGGGAAAACTAAAAGAATTATTAAAGGAGCATTGGCGAAAAGATACAGTCTTTGCTGTAGCAATTACATCTCTTTCTAAATTCTCTGAAACTATGTTCTCTCCAAGAGCTTGCAGCTATTACCCTTGGTGTTAATCCTGGCAGTATCCAGCTCACCAGGGCATTTTTACAAACTCACTGAGGAGTTTTTGAGTCGTTTTATCATTATTAGTAATTTTTTTTTTTTAATTATTGAATTTTTTTTTTTTTTTTTTTATTTCTGAACCATAAACAGGATGCTGTTCTGGAAGCAGACACTGAATTTTGGATTTCCATCTGTTGCGAATTTAATGTTCGTTCTCAGTTCCAGAGCATGATGAAAATAATCCAGTACTTGACAGAGCTGCCAGAGAACAAAGAAGGTAACCACAAAACAGAGCCAGCAAATGCATATAAACCTTCCTATTACATGGGACAAAGGGTAATGGTTTTAAACTAAAAGAGGGTAGATTCAGACTAAATATAAGGAAGAAATTTTTACAATGAGGGTAGTGAAACACTGGAATAGGTTGCCTGGAGAGGTGGCAGATGCCCCATCCCTGGAAACATTCAAGACCAAGTTGGATGGGGCTCTGAGCAACCTGATCTAGCTAGCAGTGTCCCTGCTTATTGCAGGGGGGTTGGACTAGATGACCTCTAAAGGTCCCTTCCAACCCAAACCATTCTGTGATTCTATGAATCTATTACTCCACTAGACAGAAGACTAAGGGATACAGAATTACTCTAATGACTTTTTTAATAAAATGAAATGAAAAATTTATCTCCTGTGGTATTTCAGAGCATCTTTTTTGGAACCTTGATGTGATTTTGGATACTGCAGAATAATTATCCTTGATAGGCATCTGACCATGATTTTACTTTGTTTCTGTAATCAGAAATCAAATGTCTTTTTCTCTTGGCTGCAAATTTGTTTTGTGAATGTTTCAACAGATGATCCCAGGCCAAAAAAGTCGAGAACATGCAAGACAAAGCTAAAAAATCAGGATGGACAGCTCTTTAATGTGGAGTCTCACTCAGACAAACAACTTCGGCATTTCAAATTCTTGTCAGTCTCCTTCATGTCACAACTTCTTTCCTCTCAGAGTTTTGTGAAAAAGGTAATGATGGCAGATTGCTTTTAAAATGACCATGTTAAGTAACTTTGCCATACTGTAATAGATGAGGTTTAATTTGCTCCTTAGCATGGCTTTACATTCAAAGAGTTGAAAGAATACACCATCCAGTGTACCTTGCTGACACCTTCATTGACGCAGTTTTGAAACCTCTCAGTAATGTTAATTATTTTTTGATAAGGCTTTTCCAGATAGACTCCTTCTGTGTGATTGATGAATAGGTAACTAAGTGGTCCCAGTGGATTCCCCCTGGCCTTATGGAGTCTGGGATTTCACTTGCAGTCTGTGTAACTCCAAGTTTGGTGTGGGATTCATACTATTAACTCCAAAATGTTACAAACTTTAAGTTGCAGCTCTAGCTGGAATTAGTTCCCAGTTTTTCAACTGAGCATCATCCACCAGCATGAAATGTATTTGCTACTATGACTGCATTGCCTAAGATTCTGAGATTCTCTTCTAGAATGATGGCTTAAGTGCAGATGTGGGGAACTCCCAGTTACCATATTAGTGGACATTTCATTCAGAACAAACAAATTTGCGTATACTGGGATGCTAACATAATGAAGGGATGTAAGTTTCACAGTTAGCATTTTCATTCTTCCTTTTTAAACCAGATAGTTGAATGTGAAGAAACAGAAGAACTGCAGAAGTTGGAACAGAGGTATGCTTTAAATCTGCTCCACTCCTCCTATTTCTGGCTTTTAATGCAACCTGGGAATATTTGTTAAGTGTAGTCCCATTAGAATATTTTTTCCTTGAGGATACTTTTAATGTCCTCCTTGGAAACAAGCAGTATTTATTATATGCAAGTTATTTGAGTTTTGTTTTGTTTTGTTTTTTTAATATGATGTGGAGTTCTTTATTTCTGAAGGATTGCTCTACCCAATATCTACTCTTCCTGTATTTCTAATAGTGCTTATTTACGTACTTGGCCATAACTATTATGCTGTTGATGATGGAGTCTCTAAAAGAATTCCAGATTTTTATCAAAACATATCGCTTCATTCATAGGAAAAAAATCATAACTCACAGGTGCCCCTGTATTGGTGTAAGAAAATTACCAGTAATCACAGATCACAGCAGTAGTCATTGGACTATAACAGCCAATGATGCAAAATCGAGGGTTTGTTTTGCGGAGGCTTAACTTCTATGTTTGTTCTAAGTGAAAAAGGGTGTAGAATTTATTTTAAATGCTGTATTCTGTAAATGCTCATTTTTAAATATCTGTGTCTGCCCAGATTGTTTTTGGTTTAAAATTGAGTTCTTAAGTAGAACTACTGTTGTATGTAGATGCTAATTTGGGGGTAGTCTTCCTTAATGTGCACGATTGTCCTTATTGCCATAGCTTTTTGCTAATATGTAGATATGATCTAGTCTCTCCATTAGGTGTTTCATTTTATTTTATTGTTGCTATTCTGTGAAATTTTATGCTTTCTAGTGCCCTTGTTGCTTACTAAAAGATACTTCCTTTCCATCTAGGCTATTAGAAGACGTTCTTTGCTATATAAACACTGTGGCATCTTCAGTGGAAGGAAACGTGGACAAGCCAACAGCCAAATTTTGGAGAGTTCTGCTTAACAAGTCCTATGATATGCTGGATAAAGTATGTTTCATTAGCCCTCATGTTAGCAGTGGGACGTTTCTGCTTTTGTTTATTAATTTGATTATAACCTTTGTAGGATTTCTTGTTGGATTAGTACTAAGCTTTATTGGATGGTCTGCAACCTGGTGCATTATTGTTTAAGCTCATCTAACAACTTTGATAGCTACAGCTAACAGCTTAGACCAGAAAAAAATACCAGGAATGCTTATTTCCTCTAGTTAGAATTCTACTGGCTAGAAGCGGTCATTTCACCATGTTATCTGGTGGAGAAGAATGGCTTTGGCAGCATTTTTCACTGAAAACTCATAAAATGTTTTAACTAATGCTAATGGAACTGTTGTATATTTCTACATGGAACTTAAAAGGAGAAAAAAATCCTTGTGCTTTTCTTTCTAATCTTTTTCTGATCAGAATTATATTTGTAGAATTGAACTGGCTGTCTTGTCGAGCATGCTCTGGGGCATACGTCTTTTCACAGCTTGGATTTTTTTTTTTTTTTTTTTGCCTGTGAAGCATATTCCAGTTTTCATGATGTACGCACTCAGGGCACTACCAGAAGTATTTTAGGGTAAGGAGGGATAGCTCACCAGTGTAGAAAAAAGGAATTGCTGAGGAAATCTCGGAGCTAGAGGATAATGGCTGGTTAGCAGCTAGTGTGAAGATACCTTAAGTACAACTGAAACCTGCTTTGTTCTTTTCTTGCCTCAGATACAGCATTGCCAGCCTGTTATCTCTTCTTTGATCCTGAAACCCATGTGGAAGTTTAAGAGAGTTTGCCTGTCTTATCTGGAGGCTGCTATGTGATAGTGCATGGGAA